GTTGTTCAAAGAAGGGCTGCACATACAACCAAAGGTCTGGAATGGTTTCAGAACGAGAAATGACTAAGTAAGTTTCAGCCTGGAAAAGAGGCAAGGGCGGGGGGGGCGGGGGGGGCAATATAACAAAAATCTAATAATAACAAAAATCTAATAAATCACCAACACAAAGTCCTCTGCAGAGACAGACATGCCCGCCCTTCCTCACAGCTGGTGTCAGAAGTAACACAAGCAGGTTTATATCTAAACAAAAAAGAAAATCCAAAATGACCATTTAAGGATGGGAACCTGGACTAAAGACCAGAGCAATAGTAACACTGTATATTTTACGACCTTCAGTCATGCAAAGAAATGTTCTGGATCCACTTCTTAAAATGTTGTTTTCCATACAATAGATTTAGGACAAGTGCCTTTCTCTTTTTTTTGAAAGAGTTTGTTTATGCAGATAGTTGTAGTATTTTACAGATGTGTTGCTATAGCAGATTAAATACCTGCTGCAAACTCTCCACTTTTCTCTCCACCTACCAGGAAGCACCTGCATGTTTTAGAGCTCCTAACCATTACTGCTTGAGAGCACATCTGGACATGGTGACAATTATCCTAAATCTCTACATAGTACACAGCGATCACTCGGTATTCAGCTTTGCCTACAGGTAGCCCTTAATGAAAAGTAATACACCCTAATAATTCAGGAATGGTCTCATCAAAAATTGCATCCTTCTCTTAGGTGAATTCAGTACCTTGATGTAGGTGACCTGAAATATTTGTAACTTCTTTGCCTATAGTGGTGCAGACCACTACACTATCACTCTTGAATTTCTCAGAGAATTGCTAGATGCACGCTGCTTCTTCATCATTTATCCATTTGTCATTACATCTTTTGCTATTTTGTGATGCCACCATGTTTCTAGCACCCAATTCCCTTCAGTAATATTTGTCCTAATGCACAGTCTTAACTTACTACGACATGTGGATGTCATCAATCGATTCACTTTCTCTCAAGTCTCTAATGAAAACAATAAATGACATTAGAGTTAATCCTACACCTTAAGTACCCCACTAAACTTGCTCTGTTTAGATTTATCAAATTAAGTTCACCACTATTCTATTCAGGTGTCAGTTCACATAACAAGTCTCAAACCCAAACACATATGGAATTATTCCACAACCAGACCTACATGGCAAGTGTTAGTCACAAAGTTTTGGTCACTTCAATATTTGGAACTTGACATTATTGGGAGGGCAGATTTTTAACTATAATCTGAAAAGTGGAATTCTAAAACCTCATGGCTTCTCTGACTCCTTTCACACAAAAGACTCGGGGGAAAAAAATCCCAAATCGTTATTTCTTTCTTGCATTGGAAAACATCAGTGTGATTTGGAGAGGAAAAAGATGATGTAGTGCTTTGGGGAAGGGGCAGAGAAGAGAGTAGATCACATAAGCCGGTGTCAAGCAAGGATCAGTGAGCTGCCTAAGGCATGCACGCAGAATGAATTACGAATTGGGGAACATCCAAACACACCTTCCTCTCATGAAAACCGATCTCAGCCCCAAGGGATGGAGAGGGCATTTACAGTAACATACAGCGTTTAGTGCAGTTTGGATTGCTTAGACAGCCCAGTGCTGAGCTCTGAAGTGTATCACCGGCAAAATACCCTCTATATCCAGAAATGACACAAAACCAAGAATTGTTTAAACTATGGATTGCTGCCACAGGAATCCAGTCATGCAGAGCTAATAGATCAGCTGCTGCTACCTTGCTTATCCAAACGCTCAGCTGAGGTTACAGTTTCTCACTACTTTCTTTTTTTAAAGATAGTTATCTTATCATAGGAGCCTAGGATTGTCACGCAACATTTACAAAAGCAAAAATGACATGGGCTGGGGAGAAATGGTTCCAGCTACATCTGGGATAACCAGATACCTTTTTCCAAATCAAAGCATCATTGTTTTCAGTAACATGTCCTACATCTAGGCAACCCACAATTTCCTTAAACTCTCTGTCTCCCAGGAACAGTTTATTGTAAATGATCTGTTGTAATCCTGATTATTGACAGCCTCCACTGACTGTAATTTATTCTCTGTTAAAGAAGATTCGTCAGTAAGTGGACTCATTTCTCTTTGCCAAAATCTATATTAACAATGCCAAGTGGTTTGGGGTTTTTTTGGTTATATATTTTTCTATAAGTTACATATCTCTAAGGGACATATTAAAAACAAACAAAAAAAAAAAAGATTTAAAGAACAGTAACAGCGAAGATTTTTCAGTATGTTAATGTGTCAGGTTTGACTTATCTGTACCCATAGCCTGCTTTGATACATACCAGTGAAAGTAAAGTCGCAAATGCCTTTTGGACTCCAAGAAAAAATAAGAAAGTCAGAAGTACATGGCCAGAAGTTTTCCTCTCACAGCAAGGCATGCCACTTCTAGGATAAGGATAACTTGGAGAAGAAGTTATTACCAAGCTGCTAAAGAATGGTGCCAATCTTAATGTGAAAACTGAAAACAGCACTGCGATCGTAGACTTGCGATTTTTCCCCATATGGGAGATCCCTCTGAAATGGATTCTTGACAAAGGCATTAAATAACCTATTTTCTTATTTCCATTAATCTGATTTTCTCAAAATCTAGCTCCTCCTTTATATGTGACCATTTGTCAAACATCTCTTGCAATGCAAAAGTCATTTGTCAAGAATCATAACTGTACAAAAGCTTTTAATAAAATTCTAATGCTTAAGACCACAAATTAGGCACCTGGGTTGAAAAACTGCAGTATAAGAGAGAGGTCAGATGCAGTTCTGTATAACCTGAAGATAAGTGGGAAACCAGCACTAAGAGGGCAGACAGAGTGGAACATTTACAAATATACACACACATATATTTCCTAGCTGTCAGTTCTCCCATCTGTTTCTTTCAAGATGAGCGCCAGTTAGAAGTATATCTCCTCATCAGCCTCCAGTCAAGCTACTGGGAGAAGAACCTGCACCTAAGACATTTCTGAACTTTAACATCATTTTTTCCTGATATACTACTATAGGTGTCATACTTTATTTCCAAGCCCCATTGTGCTTTATCCCCTCGGGCAGTGCAGTCTTACTCATCATAAATACAGATTTCTCTTTGAACTGTAAGGGCAAAAAAGGTTTTCCACATCTTTAGGTGATATATCTTTGTTAACCAAACCTAATAAACCCCTTAGTTATTTACCTAACAGCTTTTTAAACACGTGGCAAGACCTTGCAAGTTAACTCTTGAAGTAAAGTGGCCTTTTCCTCCCAACTTACACACTTGAAATCTAAACAATGGACACAAGACACCTTTACATAGGTGCAGCATTCTGTGCATGACATAAGAAGACGATGCAAGTTCTTCTTCTGTACTTTCACTGTATGGTTACAGTGAACAAGGACTGGGAAAAAAAACATGGTAGAAAACAAAATAGTAGGAGATTAACTTTATTCCTCTTAATCTGAAGAACACCATCAGATATGTCTCATATATCCAAAGATCAAAGATTGGGAACTTGAGAGGAGACACAACTAACAAAAATAGGTATGGAATGATGAAGTCATTTACATATCTCAGATACATTTAATCATGCAAAACAAAATGAAAAGGCTGAAGGGATTGGTACTAATAAAAAAGCAAAAGTGAAAATATATGTCTGCAGTAACCATCAGTCTAAGTAATGACAGCAAAAAATCCCTTTTATTTTATGTAGTCCCACCAAAAGCGATTGGGGTGCATTTATATTACAATCTCTCAAAAAAGCAATATTGATAAATTTGCATAATCCCAAAGCAAGACATTTTCATTAACTTATGAACCTATAGAAAACAAAGAACTTATTTTTATAAAAATTGTGTGGTAAAGTCATATAAATTCTGTATCACATCTTCATTGTAATTGCACCTACAGAACATTTCTTTAAGAGCTAAAAAAAAAAAAAATTCAACTGAATTAGGAATGCTTCAGGGTGGGTTATTGTCCAGCTGCATATCTAACACTGTCTAGTCATCTGCATGTAACAAGATGGTTTCTTTTACAGTTTAAGTTTTAGAAAATATTTATTGTAATTTGATTTTGTCACAACAGGATTTCTATCTGACGTGGATTTGGTAATGGTTTCACTACTCCAAGATCAATCTAATATTAAATTTTCTTCTCCGGACACTCTGGAAAGGGACCAACAAGACCTCATGAAGACACAGGGGGATTCAGTATCCCCAGTTCAGCCAACTGTGAGTAAGATGGCCCAGTTCTGTTCTCTTTCTTCAGATGCACAAGCTCAGACACAATATTCAACAATTGCTGTGCTAAATCTCAGCATACTTAACTGGTAACAAAGTAAACATCGGAAATTTTATTCTTGAAGAGTAGAAGACTGAGTTACTCTTTCGAGCTAATCTTGAGCTCCATGTTAAACTTCCTATTCAATTGCTTAAAAATCCTATTACTTTAAAAACAAAACAGGCAATGCATCTAGCTACTAATCCCATAAAAATGCTACATCTAAAGTAATTCTCATCCTGTTTCTAAAATAAATAAATAAAAAGGTAGAAAAACAGAGAGATATCAAAACCTTTTTGTCTACTCCCTGCCAGTAGATACCTTCAAGCACTTCAGAATACCTTGGGACTTTTTTGAAATAAAATTCTCTCTCTCTCCTGTTGCCTGTATATTCATCGTGCTTACTTTTCATAATAAATGTACAACCAAGAATAGTGTTTTTCCTCAAACAACTGCAAAATAACCATTGTCATACTTTTATTACGAAAATTTCAGGTGAAGAACTGACAGCAATGCCATTTGTACAGCTTTCTATAACTAAATATACGGGGTGTTTAAAATTCTTATTTAACAAAAGATAGCATAAACACATGTATTAGGACTATAGAGAAGAATAAGGAAGTAAGAATTAAGAAATTACAAACTGAGTAAGTTTGTGTTCATGTGAGAAGCCAAACGTGTCATCGTCAGACTTTCTTTCTGCAGGAATCCATGACAGAACAAAACGTTAATGGCTTTGACACCCAGCCCCATGTGCGAATGAGTGTAAAACCTGTGCCATGTTCCACTCTGCAGGAAGCACTGGCTTTTATACCAACTTCTCTTTGGGACTTCTTGAAATCTAGTTCTTCCATGAAGGCATATATTCCTTTACCTGTTCTCCTAAAATACTGTAAGACCAATTTGGATTTAGAGGGGGAAGGAGGAAAGGCACCACTTGATAATCTGGTCTGACTTTAACACAGAACATTACCTTTTTGCCTTCACTGAACACAACAACCTGCTCTTGACTTAAGCAAGTCTTCTCCAAATTGTTACTTGGAGAAGTAACTTAAGCAAGGCATCCAAGTAGTTACTCATCCTTGATGTCAGGGAAAATATGCATAATTTCTAAGCTGAATGTGTTCAGCTTCAGGATCCAGGCACCAGCTCTTGTTAAGCCTTTCTCTTCTAGATTAAAGAGCACTTTAGTAGCTGTTATTTTCTTTTTGCTAAAGTGCAAAAGGGAAGGGAGGAGATGAGACAGGAAGAAGGTTAAAATGTCCGCCTAGAGCCTACCTGTCTCACAGCATGAGTGGGGCTATGTTAATGAAAGGAAGTGATGTAACTAGCAACATATCTGGCAGCTTGTAAAGCCATCAAAAAATGAGATCAAGCTTATTCGACTAAACTTGTATAGAACAAGACTTGCACTTACCATATTCCTGTCATTTAGTCTTTCACCACTTGATCATACATCATGTTTTCCCTGAAATTGTCAGACTAACTAGTCAATAGTTACCTAAGAAGTCCTATTTTTACAAGATAGTTGCATAAATTACTTCAGTCTTCTCAATGCTTGAATTAATTTACTTTTGAACAGTTTTGGATACCAAGTAACCAGAAAACCCTTTAGATCTTTTAGGGCTCCTCTGCATGAAGGTTGCTAGGACTACTAATTTTATACTTCGCATCAATAATGTATTTTTATGTACTTTTTGGTAAATAATAAAAAATAATAAAATATTTGCTCATACTAATCCTGAATAAATTTCAATAATTCATTGCAGGATAACCCCAGTTATAATTGCCAACCATATGAGTCAGACGGCACGACAGAAAGGAAGAGTTCAGAGTCTTCTCACAGCCCCAGCCCTGCTTCTCCAGCCCAGGATCAAATTCATGGGAGATATCCTACAAGCCAAGGAATTCACTGTGGCAAGAACAAATTTAAAGCATCTTTCGGTACTGAAAAATTCAGACGGTACAGTTACGAGGAAAGTACTGTAGGAAATTATGACAGGTTTCTCAAGAGCAGCAGAAACCCCTTTCACCCTTACAAGAGGCAGATCAGCGAAGATGTCTTCCAGGAAGCACATCAAGCCCTCCCACCAGAAGGTTCACCCTTCAAAAATGCTAGAAGCATCGATGGTTTTGAGGGTCTACCAGGATCTACATGTCCTGATGGGTCAGAGTCATTTCCTACACACATTCCAAACATCTCCACAGAACAACCATGGTGTAATAGCCTCCAGTACAGCACCACAGGTCAAGATCACGGTTCACAAGTCATGGTCAGTATTTTTTCTTTTAATTTCTGTTTTCAATGACAAAAATATGCTTTTGGAATTATTCTCTTATCTCTTAATGTGACTACATGTGCAAGTCTCTTGTCAACTTGCAGGCTAGAGCTCAGGATAGACATCCATATTTATGTGCCAAAGTTCTCTATTTTATGCCCTTTCTCTACTGAAAAACAATCCTTGGAAAGGTGCACAAGGACAAATGATTTTCCACTAGACATGATACACAAATCCTAAAGATCCAAATTCTTCCTGACAACAGGTTTTATATCAGTAGTTGTCATCAACTAGTATTTTCAAGGGACAAAAGTTCACAAAACAGTATTTTTCAAGCATGAGGACACATGTACCAGATTTGTTACAGCCCCTCAGCTGACCTGCATTTTTCTGGACACAAACAGAAGAGAAACTCTAAGACATTGGTACTATTTAAAATTAAATATAAGATTTGTTTATGGTATGTACAGTGTAATGGTACCTGGGCTAATTCACATACTGGATAGAGGCAACTGCCTATTTAGGGCAGCACAGAGATCCCTGAAAAACAAGGTAAATTACCCTCCAGTATCTCCACAAGGTATCTGGTGTGATCCAAAGCGTAAAGAATATCACCATAATCTAGTGCAGACAAAAACAATGTCCACATCTGCCAGGAGAGGGCCCTAACCACTGGTTCTAAATTGCTGTGAGACAAAGAATTTGAGGGTTACCAAAAGAAAGAGGGGTTAAAAAAAAAATCTTAATTGGATTAAGACAATTTACCAGGGAATGGAGGGGTGTGTTCAGGGTACATACCTGAGGATTGAAGCCATTCAGGTTAAGGAGGAAATCAATCTAAATCTCTTATTTCCTGGATAAACACTCATCTAGGTCAGATGAGTTTAACGCAAAACCTATAAGGAGTTAATGAAAAATATTCCCAATTTCTTCCCAAATCCCTGGGCTGTAAAATGCAGAGAAGTAAAGCTAGCACTGCAGGATCCCTTTACCAAGTACGTGTGACTAGTCAGGAAAAGACTGGCTCCTTGTTAATGTGTCTGCTGTCAGCATGCAGCTTCAGAGCTCTTACACACTGCTGGCAAGTTGACATTTCTGAAAAACTTGCCTTATGGCCACCAAAATAGCACAGACATTGATTTATTCCAAATGTGGCATTTGTGTGGTGCAAGAATATCAAATCAAGTCTAACATGTCCCCCTACGCTAATCTGTACTATAAAAGATGGTCATTACAGCCTTCCTTTAGAACAGAAGGGTAAGGTGCTACTAGTTCCCTGAAATAAGATGTCCATGACATCAGCTCTCAGAAGAGAATTCCTGGCCATGGATGTTAAGTGGGAGAAGGAACCTGAAGTCAGTCAGTAGACCTGCGGATAAGGACACTGCTTCAGACACACCATTCCCCGCACTGTTTATTACCAGCTAGCTCTACCTAGCTCTCTGCTTAGCATGCAGTTTGTTTGAACTGCTCTTCTAAAGCAGACAGTGTTACCACACACACTGCTGCACCCAGCATTCTAACTAAAACACAGCAGCATTTAACAGCCAGGAGCCTGAGCCCTGAACAGAGTCAAGCCCTAGGCAGAATCCAGGACAGGCAGCTGGGCAGAAGTGTGAGAAATTAACACTTGATCAAGTTCTCTAAGTCACAGATGCAGAAATAAAGCACATTCTTACTGTATTTCCTGTATCTTGATCAAATTCAGCAGTCAGCCTAGATTAATTCTTCTCTGCCACCTCTTTCCTGTGCATTACTGACCTCACCCTCTACCTAATGACAAAGCTCCAGCGTCAGCTTAAGATACTGACAGCCTGCAAGATAAAATCAGAGTATCAAAAAGAGGGAGAGACAGAGACACATGTGCACACTCAGGAATGAAAGCTGGACTATGCAGTTTGTATGTGCAGGGAAACAACGATAAACAGAAACTTGACATTTTATGAATTGGTCTTTGTACCGAATTTGGACTGTGAATTCCATTTTCAAGTAGTAACTATATAAATGCAGGAAACAATGTTTCTTCCTGTATCACTAGAATAGAAAACAAATTCTATGTAACACTTTCTGTGACAGAATCAAGTCCAAAAAAGTAGTATAATGAAAGACAAATTAGAACAGTAACTAACAGAATTATTAAATTTTAAATTGAGATGTTTTCTCTAATAACTCTTTCCTTAAATATTTTCCATCAGGATTCAGACATCAAACTTAGGACATCCCCACTGGAAGGGCAGCCTGGTTTGTATTGTTATCAGCCTCAAGTGCAGCAGATGTATTGCCCCTCACATCCTTTCCATCAGGTCAGTACAATATGTAGACCGAAAAACCCTGTATTTCCAGCATTATAACGGTACACAAAAAGACAGATGAAACACTACCTACTAAATTTGTGTTTGCAGGGCCATGTTTGTGTATATACATTTTGTTTATGACAATGCGATTTTAAAAGAACCACATCTAAACGCATTTTAAAAAGGTCAGACAGAAAAAAAAAAAAAGAAAAAACAAAAAAACAAAAACAAAACCCAAACAACAAAACCACACTTGTAAAAATTGGATCTTGGTACTGCTTATTTATATTTTCACCACTATGCTCAAAAAAATTGGCTTTGAAACCAGATAAATTATTAACATAACTGTCAGCATTTCATGATCCCAGGGAATTAAATGTGCTTTAACTTCTGAATAAAAGATACGCAACTATACTTAAAATTCAGATTATACATAAAAAAACACTTTCAAAGCAAAATTTTAACAGCAAGATGATGCCCGCTTTCCTTGTGCCTGATGGCACACACACCTCTTTTGCAATCTTTTGACTGTTACATCATCCCCAGTGAAAGACTATTCATCTGAAGCATAATTGACCATAATGCTGATGATGCAGGAGAATGCACAATATTAAGGTTGTTCTTCCATAATGTAACTATATTATTAATACTAAAAATCCACAGGAGTAACTGACACCTTGTTTTTCTGAGTGTGTCTAGACCTCACTTGAATACATGTCAGTTCATATTTTCAAAGCAGTGTACACACATTGTCTTTGTAAAATCATACGTACGTACATACTTTCACCTTACACGTGATCCTAGTACGTATCTACAGAGGTTTGCGAGCATGGTCCACTGAGCTTTGAAATCTTGGCATACAGGGAGGGTATGCACTACAGAAAGTAATTTGCATGACTCTGAAATGTCTTCAAATAATTTACTTTAGATATAAATGGTGGTGCTGTTCAATGCATTGAAATTTTCCTCTTTTATGCTCAGTTTTGCAATGTGCAAAATTTTCAGTAAGAAAGACATTCACAAAGATAAAAATATGTGTGAAACACACTATTTAAAAAAACAAACCCAAAACTTATTTAAGGTGAAATTAAGGCAATGAGGATTTTTCAGATATATAGGCAGAAATCCATGTACAAAAATAGCACAACTACCAAAACTCCCAACCATTAGAATTTAATTAAATTGAACTTACAGGAAATTAATACATATATAATATTTGAACATAAAAGCTCACAAGAATTACAACTCTTTAGATCCCAGTGACTGATGACTGATACTGCAAATCAACTGTACCATCTCATTTGATTTGCTCAAGAAGTATAAAAAATACGACTAACAGAGCAGTGATTTTACACTGTGCAAAGAAAACAAAAAATAGGTTACCATGATATTTCACTGCAATTGTTAATTCGTATGGTGTTACTAGTCTGAGTCATCTAAATAGTAATCATACCACTCATCATCAGGATTTAGCCCCTAATGAGGAAAAAGAAAGGTTATTTTTGGTATGATTTTCTTTACAAGGAAATTGAAGTAACTTCTGAAAACACATGCTGAACGACCATAAAGAACAAGAATAGACATATGGAGGAGTTTTATGACCATTGATAAAATTAAAATCATCTGTCTCAGATGACTTTTTAGGAATTTAATTTGTTAGAGTTTTGTAAAGGATGAATGAAAGTATTCCATACCTCTGTAGTGGTTTTTCATATTTTTAATTGTGTATTTCTTATAAATCCCCCACCTCTCTACTGAAACTTCATGGAAGATGTCTCACTATTACAGTATATAACCTCTCAGATATAGAGAGGACTAAAATAGGGATTAACTGTATCAACCACTTGGAGAGCTTCAGGGATTTCTATGGCCCTTCTGAACTTCTAGTGTCTGGTATAGTTAAAATGATCAACAGGATGGTGTGGCAAGGCAGCTCGATAAGCACCCTCAAGTCCCAACACTTGTATGAAGTAAACTTCTAACATCAGTTCCTGTTACTGCCATCTTTCTCTTCCTGCTCCCTCAGCTGTGGCCAGGCCCTGTCCGCTAACTGGACTTTGTATTTAAATCAGCTTAGGAACTCAGGGGCACAGAGGTTCTCGTCCAAGTAGGTGTTGCACAAGGACAGACCTTAGGGCATCCAGGTACTACTGAAGCTCAAATAGTTTCAATATCAAGGGCTTTTTGGATCCACTGTCCTCAGTGGGTAGCCTTGGAAAGCCTGGGCAGTGTACAGACACTAAATAGATGTAAGAAGGCACAGATAACGGAAAAAAAGCAGTTCTCCCACACTGAGTCAGTGAGAATGCACTCACTCCTGGCTTTTTTCTTTTACCTACCACTCTGGCATTCCACAAGCCAGAATTTATTGATTTTTTTCCTATAATGTGGCAAAAAGGTAATTATCTTTCAAGCTCTTATCAACACCATCATAATTAATTTACTTGTTTTTTCTTGTTATCCTAAAAGTCAATAGAAGCGATAAAAGCTAATGATAAAATAGAATAAAAAGAAAGGTGACATTACACTACCATCCTAACTTACAAATTTATTGATTCTATTATTGTTATTTTAGAAGAAAATGGTCCCAGATGAAGGATTAACTTGCCACAAAAGCTCTGTTAGTTCCCCCCTGGGACTGCAGCACAGACTTTGTGGATGTGCCACAGCACCATGCATCTCACACACAGTACAAGTGTCAGTTTTGTGCTTTAGCTGAAACTCCAGTTAGCTTGTTAATTCCTTTGAATCTTTTTAAATCTGAAGCAGGCACCAATCCCCAGTTACTGCTGATTTGATACCAGTACTATTACTATACCTTAGCATTAACCACATTCCAAAAACCTACAAAATTAAAGCTGAAATATACCTTCTGGGAGTTGCTAGGCAAGATACAACAAGCACTAAGAGGAAAGTCTTCCATCCACCTGCAGGCTGGCACTGTGACAGATCTCTTACACGCAGCAGGTTTCTGTTAGACTTCTCAATATCTGTGATTCTTTATGTTACTATAGTAAAAGTATAGCACCATGTTCTACTGCTTTGGGGAAAAAAACAACAGGTGTAAGCAGCCAGAGTCAAAATAGGTAGAATTGCTGTCCATGTGCCTTAATCAGATACGGGGAAATTAAAGAATATGTGATACAAGACTGAGAAGTGGAATAACATCTTTTGCATGAAGCAGCTCCAGTATTAACACTTTACCTTTCAAATTCAAGTGGAGCAGTGCAATTTAAATCACTAGGAAGTTACACTGAAGAGAACGGGCCCTTTAGCCTGAAGTGGAGGATGTTCAAACTACGCCCCACTTTTCATTAGAGGGATGAGAGAGATCAAATCCTTTATTAATTTTGCCCAAATGATAAAATGGCCTCGCCTTCCCCTTTGCTGGACACAACACAAATGATGACTCATAGGAAAAATTACTTCTTACTGACCTGAAAGAAACAGCAGACACTTACTGAAGTCACCTACCCACCCACCATAAAACACGGACACCTTTCATGCCAGTCGTGCGACTGTAAAACCAGCTCAAGCCTGTCATACCAGACCATTCCCCAGCCTCTGTTCCCTCAAAAAGGAGTAATGAAACCAATAAAACAAAAATAATCCTTAAAATGCCCAGGTCTCGCCTTTGGTGATGACATCACGACCAGTCCCATCTTAGTATCCTTTCCTTTCAAAGAGCCACTGAAACCAATAAAATCAAAATTATTGTATGAATTGCCCAGTTTTCTACTCTGGTGAAAAACCTGCACACAATGCAACAAAGCAGGTAGCACAGAACTGCAGACAGAAATTAGTTCACAGCTGTTCTGGTGACTGCAGTTTTGCCCGGTATTTGGTTTAACAAGGCAGGACATGATTAATTACATGCATCTCATTTACTTCACCCTGCTTACTGTAGCAAACAAATGAGTGTTTTCAGTATGTTTTTATACATTCCATTTCAGGCAGTTTAATGTTAGAAAGATAAAAGCAAATACACAAAAACTCAAGCAACAATAAAATTACTGAGAAACCGAAATAAATTATTCAAAATCCAGAATAAATAAAAAAACTATGAAGATTTTGCAAGCACATTATAACCTTTCACAGGCATTTTAAGGGGACAAAGACCAAGAGCAACAGAAGTTACTGGTCCAAAAATAGGAATGACAGCAAGAAACTAAGGAGATGTATAAGCTAAGTAACAAGGAAATTTTCCCAACAAGTCTTGAAAGATACATAATAATGTTTCAGAGGAACCATAAAACCCTCATGACACAGGACTTCTAGAGCTAAGCAATAAAATACTCGAACAGGGCTCAGCAACCCTTGAGTACTAGGGAAGGCATGCAGGTAGATTTTTTAATGGCATATGACATGACTCCTAATTTTGGCCATGCCCTAGCCCTGGCATCTGGAGAGATTCATCTGTAAGAGGCAGAAATTCCACTCACACTGAGCTCTGAGTTCAGTGGGAGCCTTTGCCTCACAGAGAGCCAACTGATGGTATCTTACCTTAGCAGGCTACTGTTTCTTTATTCTTGAAAGTTGCTTGCCAGCAGGTTTAAACTGCAATTTGGAAAAAAAAAAATTATGACCAACTGCTGTGTTAAAAAATTGAGAGCAAACCTACAGAAACTCTGATGCAATCGAGGGTATTTATATGTATTATCTCCCCTCTTTCACCTTTTTTTGCATTGGCATATTTCTATCATGGTGATCGCACGACAGGCCAGCCATTTCTTTAGTATGTCTTGAGAGGTGGACAGGCTTAGAGATCTCTCGAAGAGATAGCTCAGCATTTCAGTCTCGGGTAGCATTCTGCTGCTTGTTCCTAGGGACGGGGTGAGGGGAGTAGAAATGCTATCTGATTTTAGGCATCCCAGCTATTCTTTTTATTTTTTTGATATAGAAAATGGAGAAAAAGAAGCTGCTTGAGGTCATGGGTAACGGCACTTCCTTCTTATATTTTTAGTGGCTTTCCTTAATAGGCTTATTTTGTTATGGTGCATGTTGTTTGAAGTACTTTATTCTGGATTTTTAATTATTATTTATATAAATACAATTATACCATTAATTTATTTCTCTGCATAGTGCAATGTTCAGGGGAGGCTGAGCAGGCTCACTGGAAAAGAGATGGCTGAAGGGAGGTATGCTTTAGGTCTATAAAATTATGAATTATCTGGAGACAACTAATAGAGTACAGTTACTCTGATTTTTTCACAAGAATTCAGTAGCATAACAGGCAATAATAAAGTTCCTTTTTTTTTTTTTTCACATACTTCAATTTGGAACATACTGCAACTAGATCCAGTAGCAGCCAATGTATCAGTGAGTTCCTCTTGATACATGCCCTGCTGCTTCTACTTCTTAAGCATTGACTAGTAATGTTTTCCAATACCATGCTAGGAAGACTTTAGGTCCGACTTGGCATAACAGCTATTAAATGTAGGCAGAGGACAATGAAATAGTTTACTACTGTTTTTAAGAAATACATATTTTTGAGAGCTTGTTGCTAAGCCAAGTAACATCTCTTCTATTGTATCATCAGTATCCCTCAGGAGGCAGCTATCCTGTGACTTACATTACTTCGTCACACTACCCTTACCAAAGAATTGCTCCTCAAAGCAGTCAAGAATCCCAGCAGCCTCTATTTCCCAAACCCATCTACTCCTACAGGTAATAAAATATTTTTTTCAAGTCCTAATGTTACAAAAAATACACTATTTACCCATGGCCTATTTCCAGCATAATTTGCAATAACATGCTTACTCTTACTTGTCTTGTTCCTGGTGTGCTGTGTCCTGTTTGTATGAATCACAAGATGTTCCAGACTCTGGGGCCAAGGCAGAGGGAAATGAAGTGTTGTAAAGCATGTGAACAGTCTTGATCACCCCCACAAAAGCTAAATGTTTCTATAATACAGAATCTTGGGTGTTGCAAAGTTCATCAGCAGAAGACTAATCACACTTAGTTGTCTTTTCCAGGACCTGTATTAAAACTAATTTTTTTCTCCAGTTACTAGAGCAAGGAAATGCCTAGGAAATGTATCAGATATGCCAGTCACCACACAGGTTTAGCCCCCAAACAGCAGCCTAACAAAGTAGATCAGACAAATTTTAATTATACCTTCTGTCACCATCAGCCTGATATTCTCTTTGTGGCCTTTACCAGTTTAAGCATTCAAACACAACCTTAAATAAATACACAATAGCAGGATTTGAAGGCTGTGGTCTTGATTCCACTTTCTATTACTTTATTTTAAACCCAGGTTGGACCTGGGTGCTTTGAGAATTACCTCTAAAAGTTATGCAGTGTAAGCAGATTGCTTATAAACAACCAAGTGAAACTTTAAGCATCATCGGTATTCATGCTACGACAGTGAAAGCCAGAGTAATTACTCTAGCTTACTGTGAAAAATAGTCTTTTTTTCTGCTTCTGAGGAGTCAAGCAGAACAGGTTAAAATACTTTTCTTTCTCTCCCTAAAGCATCCTGATCTTCATGGCACTCAAAAACAGCAAGACAGGGAGCTTGCCAGTCAGTGAGATTTACAATTTCATGACAGAGCACTTTCCTTACTTTAAGGTGAGTTCCACGGGGAGCGGGGGAAATCTCTCTCTAAGCTTACATGGCAGCAGAGGGAATAAGGGAGGGGATTCAGTCTATGAAAATGGATAAATTCTACTAGATTAATATCAAATCAATTACACACTATACACCTTCATGATCACAAACTACCAAGCATTTTAGGCCTAGGCAGAAATGCGAACATGATCTGTGGCAGTATTTAAGACAAAAAGGTATTAAGAACTGTTCCAACTTTGAGTTTGTGTAGATAACAAGTGGCCATTCCTCACCAACAACTCATTAAAAGGATAAATATTTTTTAAAACACATCCATTCCTTCCTCTCAGATCTCAAGTACAGGCAGAACTGGTCTTGTGGCTTCCTCTGCCACCAATAGCACCTCCAGACTCATGTGGAAACAGAGGTTCAAGGTTATCTTGCTCTGTTCTGGAGCTGGGATATCCATCTTAGGCAACTTCACCACTTGCATGCACTGTACAAAGAAAAGTATAATGTGTGATAAATGGCACTAAGCTCATAATTACAGAGTAACGTCGGTGAAGGTAAGGGTGTATGGTTTGCAGCAGATACTATTGAAATTTAAATCCATGCTGTAGGAGAATGGTTTCTTGCACATGGAATGCAAGTGGAAAGAGATTAGTCAGCACATGATCCAAGAGCAGAAGGATTACAGTTAAGATTTTAAAAAGAACTATAATAGAATCATCAACTGCTGCTCAACACAGTTTCATTACTGCTGATTCTTCAAAACCATCTCACTAAAAGTCCAGATCGGGTGACCTACAACTGTTAGCAAGACCCAAAAATGAAAATAAAGCAACATGGGTCTGTCCTGTTCCCTATTGCAAATAAACATGCAGCAATTCAAATACACTTAAAGGAAATACAGAAAGGCAATTCAAACATTTGTACTAAGAACACTAAGAATAAATAAAAAGAAATGTTCTGACACTGTTTTGCAATGGTTTTGGACACTGAGGATAAATATTGCCCAAAAAAAAAAAAAAAAAAAAGAACATGTCAGTAATCAGAGAAAAAGAATAACACGCTCTCATGAAGGAAGAACTGTTAATGATTCATTACACTTCTGTATTCCCAGAATTCCAGGTTTCCTCTCAAAGGAATCACTAGCTACTCTATTATTTGTTGCAAGCAAGAGAAGGGAGGAAAAAAAATAAGGAAACCTACCATCATAATTCAAGAAATATTCCATCACAACATGACTGGTCATAATCCACTGACACAAATCTGAAGCACTCCAACATTGTTAAATGACAGAGACACAAACAATTTTTTAAGCTAAACACACGTGAAATTAAGTAATGACAGTAACCTAAACAGGGAAAGGAAAAAGGGTAGGATGGCACATGGCAAGAACATAGTAGCTGTAATTTTTTTTTTCATTTTAAAAACAAGAATAAATTTCAAGATTTGTATTTTGTCCCTAACAGAATATTAACTCTACTTTCCATGCATTTACCGCTAGCTGCAACAAATATTAATAATCTAAAGGAAAATAGTTGGAGGAATTGTGAAAAAGGTCCTAGGCCACAACATCCTGAAACTGATATTTTGCAGAACTACACTTCTTAGCATAATGCACAAATCATGTGATCTACAGCAGAGTAATACATTCTTATCTGATCACTGTTTTCTAGAAAAATGGCATGAGTCTCAAGCAGAGAGGTGGCACTATTAAAAATAAGTTTTACAGGCTTGTCCACATTTATTCATCAGACCAAACTGACACTCATTCTCTTCTGTCTTACAACATGATCGATTATGAAATTAATCATTAGCTTGCAAACTAAATGCTGGTGCTGACAACACACACAGAATTCCTCAGACACAAGACTGTGGCTCTGCCAGGTGACACCTTCCTGGTCCTGAAGTTAAAGTCATTCTGACACAGCAGAAACATTAGGGAGATGTACATCCTTTCCTCAACTCTGTATCATGTGTAAATATTGTGTATTCTATATATTGTGATATTTTGTGTGCAAATGTGTACAGATAGGTACACGTTCACATATCTGTGTGTATGTATACACACATCTGTGTGTACATATGCTCATCCATACAGTAGGTATATTTCTACCACAGCTTTAAATAACTGTTTTATACCTAATCTAAACTTTTCCCTTCTCACTTATCAAAATGGCCTATTCCACAGGGAGTAGGTTTTGGTGGTGGTGGTTTTTTGGGTTTTGTTTTTTTTTTGTTGTTGTTGTTTGTTTGCTTTTTTTTTCAGATCTTCATGTCTTTTTCTTAATTAATTTAAAAATTTACGAGAATGAGGATACTGCTGTCACACACATTATAGGAAAAGAATGGTGCAGAGGGTACTACTGGAGCATTCACTTTTCTGTGACAGCTTTACATTTGCATTTTACTTACAAATACAGTCAAATGTTTTAATAGTTCCATCCCAAACATCCTTCAAATAAGCAGGGGAGAATACACAAGCAATATTATGCTTATGGGCACTAAGCCCTGTCTACTCCTGGTCTTTACAGCAGCCCACAGAATTATCAATATATGGCAAAAACTAATATCCTCTATCCCCCCTTTTTTGTAGAGTCTTGAGCAAGATAAAGTAATATAAAAATCAGCAAAGAACATTTTGTTGTTGCTACCAGAACTCACTAAATAGCAGGATACAACAGGGGGAGGGGAAGCAACTTAAGTTGGAGAGAAACAGAGTACAAGTGTACACAGAATCTTGCTGGGAGACATTAGATGATACAAGCCTAGTCAAATTAACTTGTATTCGCTGCCACAGCAAATTCAGTTTCTATGATGCAACAATCTCATTTCTAGTTGAAACAGAGCAATCCAACTCCTACGTCCTAAAAAAAACATCTACGCAGCTAAAGTAGAATTACTCTTTGATGTACCTCTCCCTTCTCTTGAGACCTAGATTTAAAGAGAAAGGGTTTTGCAAGATCACTGAACTCTTTAAACTTCAAGAGGTGGTCAGGATCAATGGGTCTGTACAATAATATTTTCTGCTTGTCATCCTTTGTCTTTGTAGTGATTAGCGAGTCTAACAGAAAGCTTTAATCTTCTTAATTGGTGTTATTGCCAGTGGTCCAAGAGGTTAGAAAGGTCTGTGGTCTGATGGAACTTTCAACAGCAAGTATCCTCTTGTAGTGTCAAATTCCACACAGCTTCACCCACACTACACCGAGTGCAGCAATGGCAGAAACAAGCCCTAGCAAGGAGATTCCAACTAGACGAGAACAGCTTCAGTAGCCAAAGCTCAGTTCATTAACAGACAATCAAATGTTAACTTAAAAATCTGGTGGCAGAGCTGTAACACAAACACACTGCCACAGTGTTCCTTCAGGGCCTACCTAAGTAAATGACTATTTTTCGCTGCTCAGCAATACCAAGTTTAATGCAAGAACCTGTTCAACTATTGGCAACAGTCTCCAGAATAAATCCATGTACTTTTTGCTCTTACGTTTCTAAAACTATCTCACAGTTTACACCCCCACACATTCTGAAAACCTCTGAGAAATACATGCCACTCCCATCTTCTCTGGTGCTTAGCAGAAACACTAATTATCTTGTCTAGATACAGACAGAGGTATACGTAGCCTTGTGCAGGGCAAGGAGAACTATATTCTTTCAGGTCAGCTTATTCAGGAGCTAAGTACACATCTCACCTAGGAGGAAGAGTTTTGTTTACTTTTGAACCTGCCAGAAAACACCTTGAATATGATCTGCAAGGAAGAAAATCAGATTCATCATCTTCAGTATTAGCCCATGGCAGAAAGGGTTTTCAAGGACGGGGGGGGGGGTGTCTGGTTTTTTGGTTGGTTTTTTTTAATAGAAATGCACCCTGTCTCACCCATGGGACTGGCTAACAGCATAGTGAAATGCTGACATCAGGTGGGCCAAAAGGGTAGAAACTGTGCTGCTATGAAGGGAAAATAATTTCTTTTTTAGTAAATAACACATTTAACTTCCACAACTACTTTTTTTTAAATGAAGAAAGCAAGTATTAAATTTGATCCTCAGATTCTTCAGTTAGGCTATTAACACCTTAACCCACAAGACAGCCCTTCACAGCAAGCTAGGAAAAAACACGTTTTACATTTCTGCTAAAAGTGGAATTTCTGTCAAATTATGTTCAAAAATTCATGGTGTATAATGTAAAAGCAAAAATGGACACAAGTAAGTTATAAAATATGATCTTAGAGGAAATCTGTTACACTAGGCAACAATTAGAGAAAATAACAAAAAGTTGGCTTTATCTGAGAAAAGGAACCCCATTAATAAAGCACAAGAATGGAAAGGAAATTTAAAGTGCATAAAAGCGATATTTTAATTTTCAACCTCTTTAAAAAGAATGTGGAAAACCATATTTATTTCTTGTGCTCTCTGTTCAATAATTCTCTGTGGCTAATATAAACAACTATGATGACAAATATTTATAAACAATTATGATGACAAATATTTTGCTTTCATGAATATAAATCAATAGTGGCACATAGGCAACTTCACCCCCCTTTCAGAGAGTTGCTTAATTTCTTTTAATTCTTATGACACACAGATGAGGATTTTTTGGAAACAAGAAAAGAAAAAGCATCCAAAATCGGTTTAAAAAAAAAAAAGAAAAAAGGCCTTACACACACTAGTACTGAAGATCATTCTTTGTAATCCGATGAGCTCAAAATCTCAAGTGAGAGGGAATTTATTCTCTCATCTCTGCAAATGCAGACCTTTTGGAAAGAATGTCATTTGACTGACACAGGTAAAGCGACCCTTTTATTTTTTTAACTGGTCTTACAGTGACAGGGGAAGTCTAGCTGGACTAGCAGTTGCATCTGTTACAGTGAAGTTGGGTTTCTCACATTGATTCCTACCACTATGTAGCAAGTCATTCTTCCTGCCTTTTTTTTTTTTTTTTAAGATTATATTGCAGTGGCAATGAGATAAAACAGTTCTACTCAGATATGTGACAAATAGCATTGTACAGTGCCTACAAAAAGAAAAGCAAGGAACTGACATCAGGAATTTACTATGGGAATCTTCTGAGTTCTACTCAGATATGTGACAAATAGCATTGTACAGTGCCTACAAAAAGAAAAGCAAGGAACTGACACATCAGGAATTTACTATGGAAATCTTCTGATATGAACAAGCATATTAACTTACAAAGCCTTAACGTGATGGGCAGTATCTTCTGGCTGCATGACTAAGTAAGCATAAATTAGTGAAATCAAACAAACAAACACCAGACAAACTTATTTGCAGTAAAAGGATACAGTGCCATTTCTTCAAGATCGGTAGTTCAGACTAGCAAGCAAACAAGCAAACAGGCATTTCCCATCAGAATCTGAGCATGACCATTTTGCTGGGTATTCCCCTCTTCATCCCTCACAGCAGTATTTTCAAAGTTCTTTTACAAAGGGGGAAGGGGGGAGGGAGGGCGCGGGGGAAGATTGTACAAACAGAGGGAAGATTTTTTTTTTTTTTACTAGGTTTTCTTTTCTTTGCAGTTGAATGCAAAAGTGTTCTCAGGGAAAGGAGGAAATTCTGTTTCCCTCATTGACCAGAAATTGACTGAATAAAAATAGAAAATTCATTTTAATGAAGCTTACATGTTTTGTTCAGTTTAAATAACCTTCAAGCTTCCACTGAGTTAAAAATAAATGCAAAGCAAAAAGATGCAGTGATCAGATGCTGTATCTCATCTGTAGGGCTTGTGATTAAACTATTTGGTTATATAATTGGCTAGCATACAAAGTTACACCTACAGTAGCATGCTAAAATTCTTTTGAAGTCTGCCTGGACACTTGAGTCCAAGTAGGCACGTAGTCCTTCAATTAAGTGTTCAAAATTTTTCTAGGTATTCCAAAATACATTAAGAAGATAGATTTCCTGTTGGTTCACAGTTCTAGAATATAATTATTTACACGCTTAATTCTTGTGATTTGCAAATTGACTTAAAAATCCAGCAGCCACTCTGACAAGGCCAACCTTCTTTCTTAGGACAGTTACTAATTTTATCTGATTCCGCTCTCCCGCGTAACATGACTGTAACATTTTTGTGGCTTCCTTCTAATGTACAAGTTTCATAATGTAGAAAGTGTAATCTAAACAGCATTTCTTATAATCTCATCAGTCAAAACAGAGAACTATATTTGGATTTATTTTTTTTTTCCTTGAAGTTCCATTCTTAGATTGGATTTGTTTTTCCAGACAGCTCCAGATGGCTGGAAGAATTCTGTACGCCACAACTTATCTTTGAACAAATGCTTTGAGAAAGTTGAAAACAAGTCAGGCAATTCTTCTCGGAAAGGCTGTTTGTGGGCTCTGAACCCAGCCAAAATTGATAAGATGCAGGAGGAGCTCCAGAAATGGAAGAGGAAAGACCCAGTTGCTGTAAGGAAGAGTATGGCAAAGCCAGGTCAGTAATATATTGGTCTATTAGTTCTCAAACAGTGGTCCCCAGAACTTTCCTTTGCAACAGGCACCAAGCTGTATTAGAGAAGTCATACATGATTTAGGAAAGCATTGAATAATTTTTCCTGGTTATAAAGCAATTGGCAAAATAATAACTAAAAAAAATAATTAAAAAGCAGAATTAAATAAGACCTGGTTTTGCAGGAGTGCTTCCAAATAGGCACAAAGAAGCCTCACCAAGAAAACATTCTCTCTTGACACCTCTCTAAGCTTTAAGATAAAAACAACACTGAATAAGTACTACAGAACAAAATCTGAAATTAAGTATCCAACCTTTAAACACAAAAATGCAATTTATTACATACTCAATTGGCAATAATTAGAAAAATATTTCAAACATTTTAGGCTTTTGGACTTCTTACCATATACTGACTAGCACTTTTGTTTGCCATTCCACTCACACATTTCCTGAGGAACAATAATCTTTATAACTTGCAGCTAGAATTTTAAGGCTCTGTAAGGAATAAGTAAGTAATGGACTTTTTTTGTTGTTTTGTAGAAGAACTTGATACACTGATAGGCGACAAAAGTGAAAAGCTGAGATCTTCAATCATGTCCTGCAGTCCGACTGGTGTTGCAAGTGCATCCCTTTCCAGGCAGATGGCAGTCCAATCCCATTCCTTATGCGAGCCCTCTCTTTCCTCCAGTATACCACAGCCACTGCACAGTATCCACGCATCAGGAGCTCTACACGTCAAGAGCCCATTACCAAATTTGCTCGGGGGGCAGCAAACTGCGTGCTATACATCACCGCAGGGTTTTCCTCAAATCTCAACTACATTAATGCAACAGTCACCTGACCCTCAGACCCTGTTTCCTTCTGGGGAGGCTCAAAGTGAACTCAGAACTCAGCCCAGCATCACCCAGGATTCTCCACTGCCGGCTCAGACCCCCCCGATCTGTGGTGTGAAGATGCTGACAGAGCACTCGACAGCCAGGACGATGCAGGACACGCTCATGCAGGAGGGAGATCTCAGCAACGATATCGATGCTCTTAATCCATCCCTTACTGATTTTGATCTGCAAGGTAGGTATCTAAGGTATTTCTGTTTTATAGAGCCAGGCTTACTACATCACATCCCAACCCTGCATAAATACTTCTTTTTTCCTTCAATTTTCAAAGGTATCCTGCATTAATGTAAACAAACACTAGCAGAATGAAGATACGATTTTTGCCCTTCTTTTTAAACTACTTGCTCTTGCCACTGCTATACGGACCAGCTTTCTAGGTTACATTATTTTGGACATGTAATGTTGCACGATATCTTTAAAAAGTTTCCCAAGAAAGCTATAGATTTACATCCAGAGCTTAAAAAAAAGACCCTGCTCACTCTTGACTAGGACTGTCAATATTAAATACTGCGATACAGTATTAAATACTGCAATACATATTTTCCACTGAAAACTACTCCACACAATTATTTGGTGCATATCAAGAGAATTGTCATGTGAGGAACACAGAGAATATTTTTTATTGAATAAACATGTTAACATTTTTCTTCATTAATATTTATTCAAACACCTACATCTTTGCTCAAAAGAACGCTATTTACTCCTTCGCTATTTACTCCTTCACAAGTTTCACAGGCTTTCATATGACCTGTGCCCTGAACAGTTGTATTTTCTGAGGTGTGTTCTTAAATACTTAGACATGTAATGCAGACAGTAAAGTTACTGACATCAAGTAACTGAATCATCTTGAATGGACAGGACTTCAAACTATAAGAACATAGATATCCATGCAAAAATAAGAAAAAAACACCTACCAAGTTTGTGTGTGCACGTATATGTATCTATTTATGTACGTATACATACAAAATAAAACCTGTGGGTTCCAAACAATAAAGCTCTTGCTGTACCAACTAACATGCAAGAATTGCCCTCCTGCCCAGACACAAAGCAGTACACAAAGCAATCTAAATTGACAGAGCAAAGAAACAGTCTTAACCTGCGTGACTAGGGAAATGTAATTGCCGTGCCATTGTACTGTCACAAATATTCTGCAATCCTGCCATGCCCAGATTCCTTTACTAACGTTAACAACACAGGTTTTTTTGAATCCTCAGCTTCTTCCTCTTTCAGGCAGCTGGATCTCACATTCCATTCATTTCTCTGAACCTCTTTCCGTTTTACACAGTTAATCTGGAGGATGCTCCTTTGTACTGTGAGAGCTCTGTATGCTTCACCAATGTGGTACAATTCCAACTTCCCTCTATCCTTGCCTTTAGCTTAAATTATTTAACCTTACCTATACCAATGTCTCCCATAAAACAATGTTTCAAAAAGGATATATAAAGAAAGTTGAACTAATCCACTTTGTTTTGTTATAGGAAATCTTTGGGAGGAGCTGAAAGATGACAGCCTAGCTGTGGATCCCCTGGTTCTCATTTCATCATCCCCAACGTCTTCCCAGTGTTTCCCTTCTCACTGCCAGATGGAGAACAGCAGCAGCAATAACGTCACCATCCAGAACGGAACTCCACACAGCAACCTACCCGACCTACAGCTCACTACTCTTTACTCTGCCTTTATGGAATTGGATACAGTGTCTCCTGCCTACCTAAGTAATTCTGGATCCAAACCTATAGCACTAATGTGAACCACGCATCAATCTAATTATTATTTTGTCTAAATACAGTCCTAACCATCACACACACTTACCTATCTGATTTATGTCAGCTGAAACTGCTTCCATTGGAATAAGAATAATCTTTTTCCAGAACTCGCCCGCAGGATATGTAGCTTTACTATGATAATTTTCCACAGACATACAATAAAAAAAAAAAAATTAAAACTATTTAAAGGTTATATTGTTAATGGCTGAACTGGTCAACACCATTTTATCAAGCCATTCATCTTCTGCATCTTCCAGAAACAAATTTCTATAAGAGGAAAACAAATGACTGACTTTTTTTTTTTTTTTTTTAAATGAAAGCTGCTTGCAAATGAACATAGAAGTCAAAGCAAACAATACTCTAACTTATTTCCTGGAGCCAATGATGTCAACAACATCTGCAACAGACCACTAAAAAAAAAAAAAATCTGCATATTAAAACATTTATAGTACCCTTGAAAGAAGTTCTGGGGTTTAAGAAACAAGAACATAAACTGAAAATTCTGCAAGTATTAGAAGATAGAGGACTAGCTGCTGACAGACTAAACCAAAACAACAAATAGACTTGAGTGAAAAATCTAAGTTTCACGGTGTTTAAACAGAAATTTAAAACTCTGCTTTTTTAATAAAAAAACCAAAACCATTTAGTAGAATTTTTATTTGGCTGGAAATTATTCGCATTCATTCCTCTATTTTTATCCACAAGCTGAACAGTAAGATGAATTCTTCAAACATTAAATCAAAATTTTGAAAAATGCTAAAAAAAGAGAGAACAATAACTCTTGCAGTTAGCAGAATCCAGAGAGCATCTCCATTTTAACATCCAGCTGCCATCAGATACATCCAGCAAGGTTTATGATGATGCTGACTAGCCCTTGGATTAGGATAGTGTATGGTTCCCACCACGTACTAAACGAAGGCATTTCAGTAGCCAGTTTCTCAGGAACACACTTCTCTCTCTGATTTACCATAAAGGTGCTGCTTGTCACACAACAAAACAGTGTCTTATTTCAACTGAAGCAATCTAAAACCAAAACAATCTGGAGCAGGAACCTTTAACAACACTAAGGAAAATAATCTACAAACCAAAAAATACCAAAGTGTCTTCAAATGTCATCTCTCTTCAGATATTATGGAAACTGGGAAGAAGCTAAGGAGGTTAAAATTTGAGTCAGACTGGGTTACTTACACTATAAAAAGAAGCAAAAAATTACAAAGTGAAGACCAGGTAGAACAGTGAGATAGTATTGTTAAAATAAATGCATGCAGGTTTAATTAGTTGCTTTCTCACAGCAGGGTGGAAGTACTGCCACTTAAGACTGAAGCCAAATCCAGGTTCCAATCTACATCCTCAACCATGCCTACTAGGCCAGACTGAAAACAAAATCAGATTAGGGGCAGATGGATAAAGAAGATTTAGGAAGAACACATGTGATGGAACTTTGTAATCCCTTAGGGAGCTATCAAGAAATCCTTACTTCACTTGAGCACCTCTTTCTCTGCGTTCCCGCGTACAGAATACACAGAGTCAAGTTTGCCAAGCTATTCTATGCAAAAAAACAGCAGGAAGAGAGTTATGCAAACCCTCTAGAGTTAGGTGGATCAATTCTTGATCATATATGTATTTAATATGCATTTCTTTATCTAAATGATGAGCCTAAAGCATGTAGTACATATAAAGCTGCTAGACATTATAGTCAGTATAATTAAAGTTACCAAGTTACAAATAAATACCTACCCAGTACAAACTTCTAAGAGCAATAATATTATCCTAGATATCTTTTTGAAAAATGAATCAAACAAATATATATCCTAATATAACTATGCATTGAGAAAAATTCATTCATTCCTCTGTGATCTGTGTTTAACAGGCAAGGGCAGTCTCTCAGATGCACCAATATATTCCATGCTTGTGACCATACATGTGATCATGAGGTGGAGGGTGAGGAAGAAATAGAAAGAGAAATCTACGCGTCATACTTTAGTCTCTATTTTTCTTGGTAAAAATTCTTTGAAGAATGACCAGATGTAAAGAACAAAAGGGAAAAGAACACTAACATGTTTTTCTTGTGTTTCACTTGACTTTCTTGACATACTGTACCTACAAAAGAGAGGTGTGTCCTCCCTATATAAAGTTATTTATTCTAAGTACCTTATAGTATTTTCTCCAATGCATTCCATATTTAACATGGTTGGACATTTCACAGAAGTTAAAAGTCATTACATAATTTTTCTTATATTAAAAGAGAGTCATGTTTAAAAAAAAAATTAAAAAGACTGAAAGTTATTAACTAATATAAATTGTCTGGGTCTCCTCCCCCCCTTCAAGCTCTTACATCTAGAATTTTATTGTCTTGCTTCAGTTTAGAATTAGTGATTTTGGTACACACAAAAAAATCTCATTGAAATATGGGTGCATGAGGAAAGAGTCATACTATACAATTCCTGAATTTTTTTTTAAAGCAAAAACTATATTTAACTACTTTTATTTAAATTTATATAGAAAATAATCCATATCTTGTGTGAGCACTTTAAAAATAATTTTGACACAGTTTATAGCACAGTAAATATTTCCTTAGAACACGTAGAGTTGGTGACACCTTACTTTGTATTTTGCACACATTGCAGATCTATTTAAGATACATCTGCATTAAAGACCAAGCATTCCAAGCAGCACTCTGAAAACAGGGGGAGAAAGGAGGAAAAGAATGAAGTTTTCCCAGTCCAAGGCTAATGATGTTTGTTTAATCAGCCTAAAACAAACACATTATGCAAACAGCCATTTCTGTCTAGGAAAAAAATATATCTTAAGTGTAATTACCATAAAAATATCTTATTAACGAACAGACGAAAGCGTTCACTGTTGCTTTCTCCAACATATGATTAGGAAAAATTTGCATTCTAAAGTTTAAGAGTTATTAGTTTAACTTTTCTTATTGTATGTTTCATTTAAACTTCAGAAAATTCAGATAATAGCACTTTATATTGGAACTATGTTTTCAAGCTCTTTTTTCTTGACATGAGCCCAAATTTAGTGTTACGAGACTTCTGGCTAAAGTAGGCTGACTCCAATATGTTTTCCTGTTCTTGGTATAAAATTATCACCCCTGAAGATTCATTTGCTTTTGTTGATATTGTTCTTTTCAGATATGTTCCAATCTTTGCACAGTCTTTCAAAACCTTGGCAAAGCACTGAGCACTTGAAAATGGCAGTGACTGATAGCTATTATGGAACAGATCAAGTATTAAATAGCATGTCAGTGTTACTTTACAGCTCTAACTCTTTCCTTTGTACACAAAGCTTGAAAAGAAAAGCACAACTGACTTATTTTAACTTTTGAATAAAGTTAAACTCCTGTCTGAAAAAAATAATAGGATTTCAGAACTTAGTCAACCAAGGCTGATGCTCCATTGTTATACTTCAATCAGATTTCCAGATCTGTGTATAAATATTTGTGTTTAGACTGCTCAATATCAAAAACAGTAAACAATTTTACCTGAGGTTTTTCTGACCTCTTAATCCACTTCCAGACTAACACAAACAAAAAGAAAACATTCACTAGCTGAAGAACTATACAGTTCACCATGCATCCCCTCAATGCAATAGTGTAAACGGAACCTTTGAACTAGCGTTTCCCACGTGCAGCCATAGCAAAAAAATTAATCCAGAAGTACTGCTTTGTTCTTCACTAAAATAATGAATGATGGAGGTAGCTAATAAAAGTTAAATCCAGCCCTTTCAAAAAGCAGAAAAAGGCAAAATTTTTTTTGTCCATACAAAGAAACACACAAACAATACTTGTTTACACTGAAAATAAACAGCAGTAGGAACACCATTAGTGCATATTGGATTTACTTCCCCTGGCTGCTTCTCAGTTAGCTACCACACCGATGAAAAATTTCAGATACCAGGTATCAATATAACAAATGCTGAACAGCTGATGAACAGAGATCTCAGCAAACAGGCATCAATATGAAACCATCACCAAGTAAGAGCCATCCCTGGAGGTAAACTGGTAGTCAAGGGTCATTCGGCATTTTGCAATAATGATTTTGTGTGTTATCCCCATATCAAGACTGGACACCTTTCTAGTATCTGTTAGTTATGAATTTCTAAGGTTAGGCTCAACACAGGCAGGAACACAGAGATACGCAGGAAGCCAGACAGCCCAGCAGTTTTTTCTGGGATTAAACTCTCTGAATCACGAAGGGCCACCAGATGCCAACAAGCGCTGGAATTAGTTTCCAGGAAACAGTACTGAGTACACACCAACTTTGCTGTAAATCATTTTTATGCATAAAGTGTGCTACATGCCTCAGGGCCAATAAATACTGATAAGCAAGCTGCAATTGCTATTAAACCTCTGTAATTCAGACACCTGAATAACAAAGCACTGCAACATTTTGCTGCTTAAATGAATTCAAGCCTTCCTATCCTCTATCTATTGATTTGTGTCCTGGGCACAGAAGAAGTGAGTAAAACCATTAAACATTTATTCCTGACAAAACCAATTAGGCCTAGCTGCACAACTAAGACCGTCATTAGCCGCATTACTCAAATTTCTTATTCATACGATCGTCACCGGAAAATTAATCACGTCAGCTAAGGAGCAGCAGGCACAGACGGGGAGGATGCCACTGCCCAGCTCGCCCTGAGGTGATTTACCGAGACCCACCTCGGCGGCAGCGGTTCCCCG